ATAATTTTATAACACTAAACTAAACATTTTATGAGTGAAGCTAGTAATCATTTTATAGCACTAAACTAAATAATTTATATTTTTAATATATTTTTATTGATTTTTTACAGAGAGGAAGGGAGAGGGAGAGAGAGTTAGAAATGTCGATGAGAGAGAAACATCGACCAGCTGCCTCCTGCACACCCCCTACCGGGGATGTGCCTGCAACCAGTGTACATGCCCTTAACCGGAGTCGAACCTGGGACCTTTCAGTCCGCAGGCCGATGCTCTATCCACTGAGCCAAACCGGTTTCGGCTAAACTAAACATTTTAAAGAATATTCATTTCTATATTATCAATCAGGCCTTAACATTTTTGCACATAATGCAGATATCAAAAATACTGAATTCTTTTTGAAAAATTACCAGAAAGTGTTAAAAGATGAAGTCACATTTCATTTTATTTTTTTCACATATCAGACATTTTCAAACTTAACTTTATTTGACCAGAATTTGTAGCAAAATAATAATAGAAGAGAGTTTAACTTTCTGCATTTCTATGTTATAATCATCCCCATGTCCTCAGAGGCTAATTTGATAGCATGCCACTCAATAAATAGCCCAGTTCTGCAATTCTAATATAAGTCCTATCACATCTTATTAGATGATCATTAACACTTAAGCCGAATGATTTATCCTTGCCCTCTGTTAATATAGACTGTCATCCCTTGTAAAAGAGATTAAAGGGGCCAGAGAATGTGTTCTCTGAGGAAAGAGATGCAATTTGTGATAAACTGGCAAATAAGCCTCATGAATCACTTCTGCAAGTGTCCTCATTTTTATCCAAACCTTTAACCTGTGCAAAATAAATAAATAAATAAAATAAAAATACTGTTGGGACATAAAGAGCCCAAGCAAGAACCATGCAGAAAGAGAATTTGCTGGGATGCTGTCCTTATTCAGGGGACTAAAGCACCACATTTAGGTTTCTATACCTAACTCACAGCTACTGCAGATTTGAGGAGTCTGTAGAATAGTCTGTTTGACCAAATAGTGAACACGATGCTGAATATCTCACAAGATATTTATCAACCAATGTTTGAGCTCATCCATGTCCAGGTTTTATGCTCTGGTGACAGGGCTTTCCCAACTGCTCACATTCTGGACCCATTCAACTAACTAGCATGTTACCATCATGTCCTCTCGGAGCCAAGGGCATTCACATGGAAAGGAATCAGGAAAAATGGGAGTGAAAGACCAAGCCCATGTGCATCAGTGGGATTTCTTAATAAAGGGAGGAAAATGTCAAGTAGCCTATGAAGATGAACAGGAGAGCAGTACTTTTCCTGTCTCCCTCCAAGGTGTGATCACTACCCTTAAAAGTCAGGTCAACACTAGAGAACAATGGCCTCATACATGATGCTTAGCCACTTCAATATTTGGTTAAGTAGTAATTTCCCTTAGTGGCTGAAACCAGCAGGATGTTACGATCTTCGGGGTTCTTGGCTGTGATGACTCATATTTTGAATCAAATAGAGAGGCTCCTCACCCTCTAATGTGAACTGAATCTTTAAAAAATGACAGATGTAGCTATAAGAATACTCAAAAGTAGCTCGACCAGTGTGCTCTGTGGTAAGCATAGACCTATGAACCAGGAGATCATGGTTTGATTAGCAGTCAGGGCACATGACCAGGTTGTGGGATTGATCTGCAGTGTGGGGCGTGCAGGAGGCAGCCAATCAATGATTCTCATCACTGATGTTTCTATCCCTCTCCCTTCCTCTCTGAAATCAATAGAAATATTTTTAAATAAATATTTCATTCAAAAAGAAATATAATACAAGAACCCCTTGTAAGAAAGAAAAGGGAAATAAATAAGCAATTAACTTTTCAAAGGCTTCTTTTGGCAATTCAAAGTCTTAAAATAGACCCAAAGCAAATTTAGAATCTTTATGATAATTAAAAAGGGCTCCACTATAAGGAAGAGACCATCCTCAAACTAAAAGGGTGGGATATAACAGGGTAGAATACGTGCAAGCAAGTTAATATCGTTAACCTGAAACTCTGAAGGAGATCAAGACAGAGACAATTCTCTGAGCCAGAGGTAAGGTTTTCACTATTTCCTTAGAAAGGAAGGAGTAAAATGTTGATCTCAAAACCCCTGTCTATAACATTTCAGTTGTTACATCTATAATGTAACTAAATTCTATAAAGTTCTAAATCTATAACTGGTGTTAAGTCACTTGCAATGAATCTTTCTGTTGTCTCATGAAGCCCCTCAAGGGGCAGAATTAATAATGTCTCTGATGGACTGTGGCTGGTGCATCACGCAAGCAGCCCCACCTTACAGAATGTGCAGATCACGCAAGCAGCCCCACCTTACAGAATAGCGCCTTAACATTTATTCGTGAGTATGAGAATAATATCACTTGATTTTAGTGAAGACACAGGGAGAAAGCAGCCAGTTATAAGCTAAAGAGAGAGGCCTGGAACAGATCTTTCCCTTAGAACGGAGGTGGGGATATTTGGATATTTATAACATCAATCAAAGACCATACAAAATTATCAACTTAAAAATTAGCCTGCTACAGCCCTAACCGGTTTGGCTCAGTGGATAGAGCATCAGCCTGTGGACTGAAAGCTCCCAGGTTCAATTCTGGTCAAGGGCATGTACCTTGGTTGTAGGCAAATTCCCAGTGGGGGTTGTGCAGGAGGCTGCTAATTGGTGTTTCTCTCTCATCGATGTTTCTGACTCTCTCTCCCTCTCCCTCTCCCTTCCTTTCTGTAAAAAATCAATTAAAAAATGTTTTGTTTGTTTTTTTAAATTAGCCTGCTACATTTAGTCAAACACTTAATTAATACTCTCAATGCCTTGGCAGGGCCAGGCCAAATGATTTCCCATTTCGGACAATCCTCATCCCTGCCCTTGAAGGAGCCAACCTGCCAATGTCTTCATCTCAGACTTCCAACCTCCAGGTCTGTGAGAAAGTAGATTTCATTTGTGTAAATCACCAGGGCTGTGGTATTTTGTTATAGAAGCCCCAGCAAAGTAATGTCCTGCACTCAAACTTCATAGTACTTAGACCATGCTTCAGTCCATTTTTCTTTAATTTGTTCTAGGTTATCGGAAAAGTCTAACCCATCATTGCCACTCAGATTAACTGACCAGAGGAGACAGAATGGCTCCTATTTTTATGTAGGTGTTACTTATAAGCAATGGTCTCAGGGATAACCGATCCCTTAGGCCCGTGGTCGGCAAACTCATTAGTCAACAGAACCAAATATCAACAGTACAACAATTAAAATTTATTTTGAAAGCACATTTTTTAAACTTAAACTATATAGGTAAGTGCATTGTTATTAATTTAATTAGGGTACTCCTAAGCTGGCCTTTGCTAAAAACTCAAGGGGCCAAAGAGCCCCATGTGGCTCACCCGCAGTTTGCCAACCAGTGCCTTAGGCTGACTTCCCAAACTCTCCCACAGAATGCAAAGTCAACTCAGGTACTGAACTCTCTTAGGAAGAGAGGAAAATACTTCTATAACAAGGCAATGACCTCTACTGGAAGCTGGGTTAAATGACTATAGAGCTCCCAATAAGTGTCAAACCTGAGAGGGAGAAGAGGGGAGGGACAGAATACTATGTTTAAATGTTAAGAAGCTGTGACTTCAGAGGAATTTCTAAGGAAGATGCTGTTACCCCCATCCACTAAATAATCTAACTTGAAAGGGAGTACAGAATAGAAGTAGGAAAACTTTCAAATCGCTTGTTGCTCTTGCTGCAGAGGACAGGTATTGAAGGGAGTGTCTCCGTGCTCATTTCCACTGAAGAATTTCTAGCTCCATACTCAGACTGTCCTCCAGGGACCCGGAGTTGTTGAATGAGAATCTACATTTTATCTAAATTTTCCAGGTGATCTATAAACATATTAACGTTTGAGTAGTACTGCAGTCTTGTTCCTTCAGAAAGATGGCATTTTAGTGTCTTTAGTTCTTTGCTAGTAACTCAAGTTGGAAAAGGCAAACTAACCTAATGAAGGTTCTGCATATCAAACAATTCTGAGTTGTACATCCCTAAATCCATTGTTTCTACTTAAGTACATATTATGCAACTACTCACAAAATATGCAGGTCAAATTAATAAATGCTTAGTCTTTTTATTTTTCCTTTTAAACCCTTAAAATTCAACTAATGACACTTTGGAACTCTCGGATTTCTAAGGTTTTCCATGAAAATGCCAATCCATCTAGCCCTCATCATATTGTTGCCAGAGAAGCAGAGAATTAGAATTTTAATTTTTCTTAAAGAATTCAGGGTATCCCCAAAATTATATATTTCTGCTGTTCCTTGCTCCATCTTTAATCTTTCCATCTTACATCAGAAAAACCTGTCTATGAAATGATGACCCACCTCACTTCATAAATTGATTCATTGGTTTTTTTCACCATCAATACCACAATGTGATGGAATGCTACTGTTATGGGTTTAATTGTATTCTACCATAACAAGTGGAAGTCCTAATCCTTGGTATCTGTGAATGTGATCTTATTTGGAAATAAGGTCTTTGCAAATGATCAAATTAAGATGAGGTCATTAGGATGGCTTCTGGTACAATATGACCAATGTCCTTATAAAGTGGGACATTTGGACACCAAGACAGACAAGCCTAGAGGTTAGACAATGTAAAGAGACACTGGAAGATGGCCATGTGCAAGTCAAGGAGAGAGATCTGGAACAGATAGCCCCCTCATAAGGAACCCACCTGCCAAAACTTTGATTTCAGACTCCTGGTCATCAGAACTGTAAGACAATACTTTTTCATTCTTTAATCCACCAATTTATAGTACTTGGGTATGGCAGCCCTAGCAATTTAATAGAATCACAATCAGAAGAGGTATGTCCCAAGTAATTTTTTTACTCATTAAATTTGGAAAATTAGCCTTACTTTTATTTTTATAAAACTTGAGTAGATTCTAGGTTATTCTGTGTGTGTGTGTGTGTGTGTGTGTGTGTGTGTATGTGTTTTGTTGGCCCAATCCATAGGTCCCACAAGAAAATTGTGTCTTCCTGGAGAGGGATCTGTGATTTTTTCATGTACCCCAAGGCAATGCCAATTGTAGGTTATTCTAATAATAATGTCACTCTCACTATGTTCATTCTGAGTGATCTTATAGTAGGAAGAAAAAGCATTATAGATGAGCATCATACACAACCTGAATATGTCAATGAGAGGGAGAAGCAATGTAAATGTGAGCATCATTAGTTGTAGATGCCATAATAGAAAAAATGGCTGAGAAATGCTAAACTATTTAATACAAAAATATTATTAACCTGCTAATGCTCTTCTTATCCCTACTGAATGGGACTTAAACATATGAGTAAAAAGATGCTTCACCTATTCTTCTAATAAATAAATTTCTGAAAGTAAGAGCAAATTGTTGTAAATGATGTTCTGGATGAGAAAGTCCTCCTTGGCATCCTTTTAATGGACTCCATAGTCAGCCACAAACTCCACCTATGTTAATGGTAAGTTCTGAAAATGAATTTCTAAACCCAAAGGCAAAAAAACAGAAACATAACTGCTGAAACTATGGTTTAAAAAAACACCTCTCATTTATTGAATCATAACACTGTGTAGCCTGAAAGCATCTGGAAGGCTGACATTTCTAGAACCTAGAAGTACTTCATTTGGTTATAATTAGTGGGAAAATTCAACCTTGTTTCTTAGTTTTTTTACTTTCCACCTCAACAACCAGAAAAGTTTATGAACCAAATCATGTCTCCTACTCATGTCAAGGGCTTTTTATAAAAATGCAGATTTCCAGGGCCCAATGTTTAAAACTCTGATATAAAACTCAGATTTGGCTCATGGAACTGTAGTTAAATTCTTGGGGTTTCTGGCCATGTACAAGGTTTGGAACCACTGTTGGAAAAGATTCTGGCCCTAACCAGTTTGGCTCGGTAAATAGAGTATCAGTTTGATTCTGATCAAGGTCACATGCCTGGGTTGTGGGCTTGATCCCCAATAAAGGGCATGTAGGTTGCAGCTGATCAATAATTCTCTCTCATCATTGATGTTTATATCTCTCTTTCCTTCTCCCTTGCTCTCTGAAACCAAATATATATATTTGTGTCTGTTCCTTAATACACATGTACATTCAATTTACAGCCTCACAAATAGCCACTTACCAAGGGCAAGATGACTTATGGAGGATGCTTTACAAGCACAAATTTCATTTATTTTCTATCATTCCTAGGGGGAAGAGAGTTGATTTTAAAACAACACAAAATAAACCAAAACAAAAAATTGATAAAACCATGGCCTAATGAATCATAATTATTTACAAATTTTGATAGTTCCAGCTGGCACATGAGATTTCCTTGGGGATGTGGATACTAGGGAGAGAGCTAAATGTAAAGATTTGGAGCTGTGACTAACTTTGTGCTGGTGATAGAGGTTGTAAACTATAAGCTGTGTGACTAGAATAAGATTGGTTGACTCTGGGCATCCATCCCTAGCTTTCTCATGCTCATGCTTGAAGATATCATGCAATACCAAAAGGAGACACTAAAACTCTAAAATTTAAGAGACAAAGTTGTACTGGAAACATTTCTTAACCATTCTTTCCACTGGCAGTATGAGGGCCGTCATCTGTTCAAAGGAGATGATGTCTACAAAAGCACCTGGTGCACATAGCTGCCTAAATATTAGTTCCCTACACTCAGGGCCATCAGAGAGGATTCCCCATTCAAGCCCAACTTTCTGAGATTCAACTTTGGTCTTTACCATGGAGCATTTCCTATAATCCTAATGAAGATCTGAACATATGAGTTCATTCTGAACCCTCTCTAACTTCAAGCAGCTCTTTGCTTCTAATATTACTTTCCCCTCATGGTTCCCTCTTGGGTGACTTCCTCATCCAAATGAACTTTCACAAATACCTTAACTTACCAAATCCTATCTAATAAAAGAGTGATATGCAAATTAATCATCACTCTGCTACACCCACAAGCTATGCCCCAAAGCCACGCCCACCAACCAATCAGGAGCAGGTATGCAAATTAACCCAACCAAGATGGCTGCAGCCACAGAGAGAGCAGGAGGGAGGCTTGGGTTTCCTCAGTGATGGAGGAAGCCAAGGCCTCTGCTTAAGGCTACAAAGTTTCAATTATAGAAGATAAATAAATTCCAACAGAAATGGCTGCCTCCACTGAACAAGCAAAAGGCTTGGCTCCACTCCAAGCTACAAAGTTTCAATTGTAGAAGATAGATAAATCCTAGATATCAGGGCCTCTACTTGGGTCACCAGGAGGCATGGCCAGTCTGCAAATCACCACAGGCCCCTCACCCAAGCCACCCCAAGTCCCAAGGGAACCTCCATCCTGATCCGGAACACCCTTCAGGGCAAACCAGATGGCCCCCACCCATGTACCAGGCCTCTATCCTATCTAATAAAAGAGTAATATGCAGATTACCATCACTCCAACACACAAGATGGCTGCCCCCATGTGGTCAAAGATCCTGCCCTCATGTGGACACAAGATGGCCACCACAAGATGGCCAGCAGGGGAGGGCAGTTGAGAGGGACCAGGACTATAAGGGAGGGCACTTCGAGGCAATCAAGCCTGCAGGGGAGGACAATTAGGGGTGACCAGGCCTGCAGAAGAGGGAAGTTGGGGGCAAACAGGCTAGCAGGGGAGCAGTTAGACATCAATCAGGCTGGCATGGGAGTGGTTAGGGGTGATCAGGCTGGCAGACAGAAGCAGTTAGGGATAATCAGGAAGGCAGGCAGGTGACCAGTTGGGATGTCTGACTTCCCTCAAGGGGTTCCAGATTTGAGAAGGTTCAGGCTGAGCTGAGGGAAACCCTCCCACGTGCAAGAATTTCATGCACCAAGCCTCTAGTCTATAAATAAAATTCCATCAAGTTTAAGAGATGTCTGACTAGGCATGAAGAAGATATCTGACCATAGGCACCTTGGTGAGTATTGGTGTCCTGGCCTTTTTTTAGCTTCTTCAAATGCTCCAAAGCTGGCTACCTACTTGCCTTTGACAGACTATCCAAGGGCCTCTTTCTTGAGAGGAAGTAATCAAGTCCCTCTGAGTTATTCCAACTAAAAATAGAGAAGCATATAACAACTAATAAAGCTAAAGTTATGCATTCTTAAGGAAAAGGAAAACTTTAATCATTCTTCCTGTGCTTTGGAAAATTCATGAATAAATAAATGTGAATGCAAATAGCTCTCACCTCAGAGATGGGTTTGTAAAAGAAAATGCCCTTTCCTTAAATGAAACTGCATTCTAAAGCAACTCTCACCTGGCAATGTATCTGGCAGAATAAGAGAGTAGGAATGACCTTCACTTATTATAATCTGTACATGTAATTGATGGCAACTTCCAAAATTTACTAACATCTGACCTGGTACTATTACATTTTCAAGGAATTTTCATCATAATGATTCATTTAAAAACACGTACAAGTAAGCTTATGCAGCTTACTTCACATTGAATATAATCACTTCACATCCTCAGGATGTAAAATAAGAGAAATCAGTGTTTAAAAATCAATACACAAGCCTACACCTAATGGATTATTCATTGGAACCTGTTTTGCTGAACCACAGTCACAGCAGAGCTGGGTTAGAATGGAAAGATCTATCCAACCCACTTCCCAAGGAAGGCTGTATGTTTCTAGGTCAGAGGCTCTCACACAGCCTGGACTAGGCCAACTGACAACTTGACAACAGGACACATCAAGTTTCTGGTACATCAGAGCCTTCAGGACTGGCAACACCTGGGTCCAGGGACTCCTCAGTGTCTCTCCAGTCCCACAATAGGGGTGGGACTCATGGGCTCAAAAATTTTCAAAAATAAAAAAGACAAATTTGATTCACTTTTAAACATGCACATATGACATAACAATTTGGGTGTTTGTAGAATTTTTTTTAAAGGAAGGTTGACATTGAGGACGGGGGAAAGCTGTATGCATGAGATAACCAAATAGTGAATATTTCCAAGCTAATTCAGATATCCACATTTCATAGCCATTCAATCAAATGCAATGTTATATTTATCATATACTTGTTTGCTTTGCTATTAGAGACTGACTTTTACAAGCCTGCATTCCAAATTACATTCTCTAAATTCTATAACCAGGATTCTGTCAATGTAAATCAGAAGCTCACACATTCAAATATCACTTAATCATTAATGACTTGCAGGGTATAATTTAAAACACATAAACACTATTTAACTTTGCCTTCAGTAACAAAGAAAATAGAGTAATTTCTCAAAGTACTTATACTTACAAAAGTAAAAACTCATGCCTACTTTAACAATAGCCATTTAATAAATAAAATTGGAGCAATAAATACTATTGCAGCACCTTTTGGTTAAGAGAAAAGTAGAATCACGTGCAGATACTATTCACTGCCATGACTCATCATTTCCCCATTCCTATTCACAATAATGGAGAAAAGCACCGAATTGAAATGTGCAAGTTCATACCAAAATCTTGCTAAGCAACGTGTGTTTTGGTTACTAGAAAAAGTCAAACATTGTAATCACTTATAACTGTGGTGGTGATAGATGAAACTTTTCCCTAATCTATACGTCAGTGCCAGGAATCAGCTGTACAGACTTGAGCCTCCATCTGAAATTTCTAGAAGATAATGGGCATAAAGGCACTCCACAACTATTAGTTTCTCTTCTCATCTTCCTTCCAACACTACTAACTCACCTGGTGATACTTAAGTCTCTAAAAATTATTAATCAGATCTCCTACATGTATTTTTGTGTAGTGATTTTATACAAGCTGTCTATGAAATAAGGATCCTAGAGAATGCATCTGTCTCTATTTTTTATGAAAATTTTGCTAGTAGACTCATTGCATTCCAAGCCCAGATAGACTGGTCCCTGCTGATTTGCAGGACAGAGCTCCACAGCTAGCTGGCCTTCCCCTCCATAGTTAGTGAAAAGGCACAGAGGAACAAGGGGACTTGTTCTCAGCCCAGGTGCCCCAAAGACACAATGCTTTCTAGGGGTGTCGAACTCAATCAGAGAAGGGGCCAAAATCTAAAATCCAGCCTAAATCGCGGGCCGAATGGTTTACTGAACAGTCATAAACTGTCATTGTGATGGAAACACAGCGGAGTGCAGTGATGACAGCGCGGTGCA